GTTAACATTTCATTCACTGGATATCTTTTGAGCAATGTTTACAGACTATGAATAATAAATGTTCTGAGTTCCTAGATGTCAATATTTACTTATATTTTTTCCTTATATATTGATACATTAGCTACTGATGAGAACTAAAAGTCAAAATAATTTTCTCTCACATGTATGTATTTTAGGGAAGGGTCTACAGGGTGTTCAGGGTCTCTTTCCTGTTCATTTCTTGATCACACAGATAGTATTTGCTTTCTATCTTTAAGAAGTTTATCAAAATGTCTGATCATTCAATGAACTGTCCTAGTTTGAGTGTTACAGATTTAACTTTTCTTCTTTAGTCATTTCTGTCATATTAGTGGAGTTGAAAATGACAGAAAATAAACAGCTACTACTATTCTGCTATGTCAATTTAGAGGATCAGGGTTATCTTAAACAGAAGCTCTTTCTCTTCTCCAGTCCTATTATAAGTGACCTAAAATGTTAAGGAATATTTTTAGATTAAACAAATTTGCAGATCACTTTAAATTTTGTCAGTATTATACCTGTCAATGGCTTGAAGATCATTGGCTGGATTCCAAGTAGGATCAAATAATATAACAACATTGGCACCAACAAAATTGAGGCCTAGTCCACCAGCCCTGGAAGGAACAGAAAAAACCTCATTAAAAAAACATAAACTGTTGCACTACAGCTTAACTGTGCCAAGTTTCTGCAGCTAAAACAATAAATCACACATTAACATCATAAAAGCAGGATATTAAAACACAAATAAGATACCTATGGCATATTCTTTTTCTACTTCCTTGAAAGAAATAATCATTTGAGCTGATGTAAATAGGCTGTGTTGGGTTTTACAATTTTGGGATACTCAAGTAATATTTTTGTAAGATTTTCCTACATATTTAAAAAAAAAAAAAAACCTTTTAATATATTTCAGCTACCCAAAAATGTGGTACCTTGGTTTAGAAACTTAATTTGTTTTACAATAGGGAAGGATGGCTGAATCTGTGTTTGTGTGAGGAAGATGGCCATGGTCAGG